ATTTAGGTGTACTTACTCACTCACCCATTGGAAGTATGCCTAGAACGAACATTTTAATTTGCCCTTTGCTTTTTTAGCACAGAGAAAGTAGTCAGAAAGAAAGGGTGAGTGCGGCGGACTTCTCGATCAGTGAGAAAGAACAACCACCACACGAGGATTCTTCTCAGATCACGCTTTATTGGAGTGCCCTTGGTTGAGAGAGAGCATGAAGCGAAGGTGGCCCAAGAGCCCTAAGGCAGCTGCTTATATATGGAAATGGCACACGGGTCGCCCTGTGATTGGCTGCCACCAACAGCTGACACCAGACTGCATTGGGATAGGCCCAGGGGCCCTTATCCATCGCGCATGCGGGAAGCGGGGGACACGCAGCTCTCAAAGGCTTAGCCAAATATGGAGTTGTTTATTTCCAACAAGACAGGATGTCGGCGCCATCTTGTAATGGCGATCCTGTCCGGCTCACTACAGGTGAGCAGTGATGGGTTCAGTCACTGTTTAGAATGGCAAGGAAATGTGAGTCTCTTGGGGGCATTTGGTTTTTGTCCAAGATAGCTAGGTACTATGATGTGGGAGTGATTTCTTATTAATAAAGAAACTGCCTAGACCCATTTGATAGGCCAACCCTTAGGTAGGCAGAGTAAACAGAACAGAATGCTGGGAGAAAGAAGCTGAGTCAAGGGGTCACCATGATTCTCCCACTCCAGGCAGACGCAGGTTAAGATCATTCCTGGTAAGCCAGCTCATGGGCTACACAGATTAATAGAAATGGGTTAGATCGATATGTAAGAGCTAACCAATAAGAAACTGAAACTAATGGGTCAGGCAGTGTTTAAAAGAATACAGTTTCCATGTAATTATTTCGGGTAAAGCTAGCCGTGTGGGCTGCCTGGTGCCGGGGACGCAGCCTGCAGCTCCAATTACAACAGTCCTAGGCAAGAAGACCAAACATCAGAAATTGGTAAACTGTAAGCCCCACAGAACAGAAAGTCTTCCATAGCAAAGATCTGTGTATTGAGGACCTTTGGAACTGACCTGAGAAAATGTACACCTGCAACCTAAAGGATATTTAACAAAGAAACAAAGATACAAACAGAAGCAATTCAAAGGATCAGAGTGTGAAATTCAGGACCACCAAGGCATTTACTGTAAGACAGTGACTCATGCTAACATGAAGCTTGATAGCTAGTCTGAAGTCTGCAGATAGGTGACCAGGGAGGGGAGATTAGAGCAAGCTGGAAACTCATGAACACAATCTGAGGAGCAAAGGAAAAGTAGTGCATGGGCAGGTTGGAACTTTCGGGGCATCAAATATTTGGATCTTTGAAATTACAAAATGACTAAACATCGCTTAGACATCCTCCTTATTAGGTTAGCCCCAACTCCATGAAATTATGTAATCTTTTAATTGAGTTAAATTCAACTGATTTGGAATTTTTTTTCTTTTCTGTTTTGAGACGAGGTCTCGTGTAGCCTGGGCTGGCCTTGAACACCCTGTGTATCTGAGGCTGGTCCTGAACTCCTGATGTTCCTGCCTCCATCTCTCAAGTGCTGGGATTACAGGCTTATACAACACCTGGTTTAGGGGGTTTTAATCACATCTACGAAATCCATTCATGACAACACTTAGATTTGTGTTTGATCAAATAAGTGAGGTCTGTAGTTCAGCTTGGCCTAGTTTGTGCATCAAAAGGCTATTACACAAGAGGAGTCAGTGTGTGACCTGTAGCCCTTCCATTTTCCTTCCTGTGCCAGTACACTAGAGAAGCTGCAGTCCAAAAGATAGAGACAAAGCAAATAAGATAAGCCTTTCTTTTTTTTTAAAAAAAAATATTTCTTATTGTTTATTTATTTTATTGCACTGGTGTGAAGGTGTCAGATCCCCTGGAACTGGATCTTCAGACAGTTGTGAGCTGCCATGTGGGTGCTGGGAACTGAACCCGGGTCCTCTGGAAGAGCAGTCAGTGCTCTTAACCGTTGAGCCATCTCTCCAGCCCCCTAAACCTTTCTTTACAATATTAAAAACATTTTTTTTGAGACAGGGTTTCTCTGTGTAACAGCCTTAGTTGTCTTGGAATTCACTATGGAGATCAGGCTGGCCTTGAACTCACAGAGATCTACCTGCCTCTGCCTCTGGGATTAAAGTGTGCGCCACCACTGCAGGGCTACAATTTTTAAAATATTTACTTATGGTGTGTGGGTATATGCATAGGCACACATGTGCCATGGCATGTATGTAGAAGTCAGAGGGCAAACAGTTCTTTTTCTACCATGTGAGTTCCAGGGACTGAATTCAGATCATCATTCTGTTTGGAGTGTGCCCTTGGTCACTGAGCCTTGGCCATCTCGATGGGCTGATAAACCCTTCTACAGTCCCCAAAAGGAGAGAATATAAAGAATAAAACAGCAAGCTACTCTTCCTCCCTGATCATGTCCCTGGAGCTGTATATTTCTCCTGTAGCGGTAAGGGCAAAGCTTTGGATGGGTATAAGGTAAAATTTTAATAATAGCAGCAAATGGGAAGTGATGGAATGTAAAATTTCATTAAGATAATTACTGGCCATCAAGGAAAGGAGAATTGGCATAGTTAAATTAGATACAGTAACTAGCAACATAAAACTCCAGAGCTGAGCCATGCAGGAAGCAACATAATTACATTATACAAATTAAATTAAAGTGCTGCAATTGTTTAGATGAAGAAGTGTCTGGAGAAGTCAAAGAAGGCTTGCTCCTAAAGACAGAATTTGAATTAGTTCCTAACAGACGATCAGTATTTAGAACGTTGGAGCAGAGGAGAAACTAGTTTGGAATAAAAGCTCGGGAAACGATTTTTTACACACTCGGTACAAGGTCAGGGGACACCACACAATTTGTGGAGCAAAGTGTGGATGCCAAGAGGCTAAGTACAGACCAGGCCCACACTAAGCCTAGCAAAGGAGTTGAATCTCATGTGGCCCAGGCTAGTCTCAAACCCACTCACTATGTAGCTGAGGATGGCCCTTACTTCCTGGTCTTCCTGCCTCTACCTCCTAAATGTTGGGAATACAGGGTGCCCTGAGTTAGCTGATGTTGATAGTGGAGAAAGGAGATCTGTAGAGAACTCTTGGTTCTTGGATGAGGAAAACTTGGAGGAAAGTTTTTGTTCTGAATCTCTTAAAGACAACATGTAACAACAAGATAATGCCCGTGGGATTTAGAGGAGGGCTGGAACTCAAGGGAACCAGACAGGATGCTATAGCATTCCACAGAATGCTATAGTCTGGAACCCACAGGGCTTCTTCTAAAATAATAACATTAATGTGGAATTAGAGAAAGAAAACTCCAAGAAACATTTTGAATACAAAAACCGTAAAAAAGAGTCAGTTTGGAGTGTGATGGTGGAAAGGAGAATCCAGAGTGCTCCTTGGTTGCCAGCGCAGGGATCTGGAAGGACTGCGAGATCAGCACAGAAGTGAGGGAGCTGGGAAGACAGCGCCTTTGAGACTGTGACTGAGTTTGAGGTCATTCATTCTAAAGCCACGATTTTTAAAAAGAAAATGGAAAGAAGTGAGGAATAAAGAACAGTCGAATTTCTTGAGCTCGGTCTGCCAGCGACACCGCAGGAGACGGCTGGTTAGGTCTGGAGGGTCTGGAGGCATGGGTGATATTTTTCCATGACTTCTTCCAGCTGAAGAAGACTTCCAGAAGAAAAGGGGGTAAACAGAACAGCTATCCAGATGGCGTCAAAAGAATAGAAGTGGATTTGATTCTGGGGTCATGGTTTAAGTCCTGAACTGATGAGCTTAGGCAAGGATTTGGAAAGTCATGAGCAAAGAAAAAATTCCCCTTTTCTCTGTTGTCTCTTCCCCTTTAGGGTGGACAACTTCAGTACGTTCCACATGTCTGGTCACAGATGATAATGCCAGATCCTCTCTTAGGGCAGAAGAAAAGAATCACTGAAAAGAAAAAGGAAATTGTTCAAAGAAAGATAGGAAGGCAGACAGTGAGAAAGAAAACACTGTCAAAGATACCCAGTGTTTCATAAGATAATTATAGGTGAAAATAGCCAAAACTACTGCTAACATTTATTGAAAGTTTACTGCATATACTTCTGTGGAAAATTCTTTATATTCAGTATTTCTTTAATCCTTACTATGAAGGATGCTTAATATTTCCCTAACCACAGCGTATCATAATACCAAGTGCTGGAATTATAGATATGTATCACTCGGTTTAGATCCTGTTATTATATAGAATTATGTAGAATAATTTTGGGGACTGATGAGAGGCGCAGTGGTTAAAAGCTCTTCCTGCTCTTTTAGTTTAGTTCCTAGCACCCATATGGGGTGGCTCACAACAATCTACAATCTATTTCCAGAAAATTCAACTCCCTTTTCTGGCCTGTGAGGATATCTGCATACCTATGCGCGCGCGTACACACACACACACACACACACACAAATTTTTAAAAAAATCTTTAAAATATTTTGGATTTATGTATTTACAACTTAGAACATAGACAAATGGACACAATAAAAAGGCAAGGTGTGATTGATGTTGCTTTTTATTTTTTGTGTTTTTTTAAAGATGGGTAAAAATGAAAAGATGGGAAAATATCAGTGTGTCATGTATGAATGAGGTATAAAGCTGAAAGACTAGTTGCACCTATGGTGTATGTCTCTAATCCTAGCAGTTGGGAGTTGGGGACAGGAAGCTCGAGTGTTCAAGGCCAGCATAGGCTAAAGAAAAACCCAATTAACCAAAACAAACAAAATAGCTAAATAAGAACAAATACAGTGAGACATTGGGACAGGTTTACAGTAGGGACGATAGGAGAGTGGAAAAGCCCACTGGGCTTCACATATGTGATAGTGCATACACCAGATCAAATCTTCCTACGTTTTCTCTCCAGAATTTTGTTATAATATCTACCTTCCATTAGTGAATTAATGTGTGTGTGTGTATAATAGTAATGTGGTTTTCAATGCAATAAACATGTATTTTTTCCTTTTTATTTCCTTAAATAGAATTTATCTGAAGAAATGGATAATTCTCCATCCAAAAAATATCCAGTTAAAAAACGGGTGAAAATCCATCCCAACACAGTTATGGTGAAATATACCTCTCATTATCCCCAACCTGGAGAAGACGGGTATGAAGAGATCAATGAAGACTATGGCAGATTCATGGAGGAGAATCCGAAGAGAAGTCTGCTGAGTGAGATGAAGAGAAAAGGAAGAACTTTGTTTGGAACCATGGACCCTCAGCCTCCACTAGCAGACGACTCAAGAGGCAGTGGGATGGCACAATTCCAGAGCTTTGCAGAAAAAAACATTTTTCAGTCCCGAAAAATGTGGATAGTGCTGTTTGGCTCTGCCCTGGCCCATGGATGTGTGGCTCTCATCACTCGGCTTGTGTCTGACCGCTCCAAAGTTCCATCTCTAGAACTGATCTTTATCCGTTCTGTGTTGCAGGTCTTATCAGTGTTAGTTGTGTGTTATTACCAGGAAGCTCCTTTTGGACCCAGCGGATACAGACTACGACTTTTCTTTTACGGTGTATGCAATGTGATTTCTATCACCTGTGCTTACACCTCCTTTTCAATAGTTCCTCCCAGCAACGGGACCACGATGTGGAGAGCCACAACCACAGTCTTCAGTGCTGTTCTAGCGTTTCTACTTGTGGATGAGAAAATGGCTTATGTTGACATGGCCACAGTGGTTTGCAGTATCTTAGGGGTTTGTCTCGTCATGATCCCCAACATCGTTGACGAAGACAACTCTTTGCTAAACGCCTGGAAAGAAGCCTTTGGGTACACTATGACTGTGATGGCCGGACTGACCACTGCCCTTTCGATGATAGTGTACAGATCCATCAGGGAGAAGATCAGCATGTGGACTGCACTGTTCACCTTTGGATGGACTGGGACAATCTGGGGAGTATCTACTATGTTTGTCCTTCAAGAACCTATTATCCCTTTAGATGGAGAGACATGGAGCTATCTCATTGCTATATGTATCTGTTCTACTGTAGCATTCTTAGGAGTTTATTATGCCTTAGACAAATTCCACCCAGCTTTGGTCAGCACAGTACAGCATCTGGAGATTGTGGTAGCTATGGTCTTACAGCTTCTAGTGCTACACATATTTCCTAGTGTTTATGATGTTTTTGGAGGGGTGATCATTATGATTAGTGTATTCGTCCTTGCTGGCTATAAACTGTACTGGAGGAATGTAAGGAGGGAAGATTATCAGGAAATACTGGACTCTCCCATTAAATGAACACCTAGTTATTATTATCTTATTAATGTCTAGTTATTAACATGTACATTGCCCTTTTAATATTTACCTGTAGATGTCTTTTATGTTATGTAATTGATAGAGTGCTATATAGTATAAATAATTATGCAGACGCAGGAAGATATTCCAGACCAATATATTAAAGCATAAATATTAAATAGATGAAATATGTCTTGAACTTTGTGTATTTATAATTATTAATGAAAGTAATTGTGGTAGAAGGGTATCATTCTCCATCACCAAAGACACAAGACTAGGAGTCTCCAATTGAATTTTTGAGGTTATAAACTTCTTTTTTAATTTTATAATTTATTTTAGGTTATAAACTTCTAAAACTTGAAAAATGTTTTTGTTTTGTTTTGAGAAAGGGTCTTTCTGTGAAGTCCTGGCTGTCCTGGAATTTGCTATGTAGATCAGACTGGTCTTGAACTCACAGAGAGTTGTCTGCCTCTGTCTCTCGAGTGTTGGTTTTAAAGGCGTGAGCCACTAAGCCTGGGGAGAAATGTTTATTCATTTTTTTTTTTTTAAGACAGGGTTTCTCTGTTTAGCCTTGGCTGTTCCGAAACTCTCTCGGTAGACCAGGCTGGTCTCAAACTCGCAGAGATCCTCCTGCCTTTGCCTCCTGAGTGCTGGGATTAGAGTCATGCACCACTATTGACCAGCTGAACAAAGTTTATTCTTAATGTTCTACATACGTGCAGCAAGCCTCCTTCGATATTCAAAAATAATCATTCATGAAAATTACACATAAATTACACATAGGATAAAATGTTGGACCCCTAGCTAAAGTCCATCTTTCCACTAAAAGTCTAAAGGCCTAGAGTTGAGATAAGTAAGGGGAGTAAAGAAAAGGTGGATTTTCAGGAGCTGGAAAGTTTGTCTTATAGTAGGCCACATTAGGCAATATATAGGGAATGAGTGGAGGGTATAATGGATTCTGCTCCTGTTTATGATTCTATGGTAAGTATGTAAGTAAAGCAGACATGCCACACTCAAAAAAAAAAAAAAAAAAAAAAAAAAAACAAGCCCAGCAACATGTCTTTTGCATTGAGGAACCAAAGTAGATGTGGTTTCTTGTGCAAGAGCTGCACAAGATGAAGCCAGCCACAATTGCAGCATAGATGGAGAGGGACTTTCCATGACCCGTGCCTTGCTGTGTTATTGGTGGTTGAGACCTGCTGGGGGAAGGAGAATCATTTTTGTTCCTATTGGTATATTATTGTGTTTCAGTGCCGTCCCCCACTACATATGGACAGCACTGACTGGATTGGATTTAATGGGTTAAAAAAAAAAGTCATTTCCAGGATTGCCAGGGCTACATAGAGAAACTCTGTCTCAAGAAAAAAAGTCATTAGTTGGGAGGGGGACATGATGAGGGGCATATGGGCGTATGGGGAGAGTTAGAGGAGGGAAATGGGGTTGGTATGATCATATTTTATTGTATACATGTATGAAATTCTCAAGAATAAAGAGAAATTAAAACTAAATTGTTTTTTTAACACATTAGCACTAACCATGTTATAGCAGAAAATTGACATGGTTTCCTGAGACTCCATAAAAGGGCCTCTAGGTCTGTAAAAGAATACAAGATATCATTAATTTGAGTTTAATTTGGGCCATTATTAATTCTGCACAAGTACATGTTGGTGTGATACTGATTATTGAGGTTCTGTCTCTTAGCTCCCAATCCATCCATCTATACTTTCCTATGTGATGCTAAGGCTCAGACCCTGGACATTTCATTTTCATGGTGCTAGCTAGTGTCTCTCACACTGGGTTTGCCTACAAAGGACATTACCAAGGGGCTGAACCTGCTAGCAACGCCTGTAATTCTAGCTACTTGGGAGGCTGAGGCAGGTGGATCATAAGTTCAAGGTCAGCTTTGGCAACTTAGACAGACTTGTTTTCAAAAAGGGGGAGCAGCTACTGGGACTATAGCTTGGTGGCATAGCACTTACCTATTAAGTAGCAAGGTGTTGTAGATTTAACCCTAGTCCTTCAAATAAGTAAATAAATAAGACAGCAAAAAGTTACTAGAGAAAGATTAGAAGGCAGAAGAAGGGATTTTTCCTCTTTCTATTTGCCTTTAGTGTATGTGCTGCTTTACCCCAGCAGTCAGAAGGAATTAATGTTATCCTTAAGTTACTTTTGACACCATTCCTTCCTGTAGCATCACTCCTGCCCACAACATCATTCCCTTTGAGCAGTAGAAGGGCCAGCTGCACAGTCTCTTCCTAGACGTCTGAACTATATCCCAGCTGGGGCATGTCTCTGTGTGTGCTTCTGAAATCCTATAGTCCAAACCTGATTCTCCCTTTTCCTAGCCCTAACGGTGGTAGCTGATCCATGAAGCACAATGTCTTTTGGGTTACCTCAGTGTTCAGTGTCATCACTGGCCCTCCATCCCTGACCTTTTTTGGAGGGATTTATTTGAGACAGGATCTCACTCTATACCCCCGTATGGCTTTGAACTTGGGGTGACTTACTGCATCTGCCTCTCCAATGATGGGATGACAGGCATGAGGCACCAAACCTGGCTTCAGTTTTTCCAGTCCATTAACCCACAATCTAAATCTTCTCCATTGTGATATTTTGTGATTTCTGTTTTCCTCAGTGAAGGGTCCAAATCATCTTCAAACAAATCCAAAGGCACTAATAAGATGCCTAGCTTTGGGGGAATGTTGACATTTAGATTTTTCAGGTATTACTAGACGTTAGTTCCCAATAAGCATTATTGTAACCTGAGCAGGCATGGAGGTATAAACCTATAATCTTAGCTTCTTAGGAACCGAAGGCAGAGTGCTCCTAAATTTGAGCCCAGCTTAGGCAATTTAGCAAGATCCTACACACAAATCTTAAAAAGTTCAAAGGGCTGGGCAGATAGCCTGGTGATGAAGTGCTTGGACGGCATACAGCAGACTACAGCAGACTCGGGTGCAGCCTGCAGTGGATGCTCACGGATGCAAGCACACACACAGAAATGAAAGCACAGGAAGAGGACGTGGAGGCCGGTGGTGGGGAGTGGCACGGAGAGAACAGAGCCTGCACTGAGAAGGACAGCATAAATGTTACTGCTGTCTCAGAAGAGGAGGAAAGAAAATCAGGTGGGAAAGTTTTGAGGAAATATCAACCGGGATGTTTTCAAATTTGATTCGAGGTGGAAAACAAGTACCAGTGACTCAGAAATCTGGGGAACTAGATGAATGCCTGGCAGGATAAATGGAAAGAGACACTGGGAACAGTGCACCATTGCTGATGAGGATGGAGTTATAGAATCCTAATAAAATAACCAGAGCAAAAAGACATACCACACAGAGAAACAGCAAGAGCTACGGTGAGATGGCTCAGTGAAGCAGGGCTCTTGCCACTAATCCTAATGACCCAAGTAGGATCCCTGGAACCCATGTGGTCGAATGAGAGAACCAACTCTACACATGCATATGTTCACACACACACACACACACACACACACACACACACACTAAATGCTAATGTCTTAGCTAGGGTTTCTGTTGCTGCAAAGAGACACCATGACCACAGCGACTCTCATAAAGAAAACATTTAATTGAGGTGGCTCACTTGAGGGTCAGCCCATTATCATCATGGAGGCATGCAGGCAGATGTGGTGCTGGAGCTGAGAGGAAGTCAACTGAGACACTGGGTAGTAACCTGAGCATAGGAAACATCAAAGCCTGCTCCTCAGAGACACACTTGCTCCAACAAGGCCACACCTCCTTAATAGTGAAACTCTCTATGAGATTATGGGGGCCAACTACATTCAAACTACCACAGTTAATAAATAAAAGATTCCAAGAATTACAACTTGGGGTTGGAGATATGATTCCTCCATTAAGAACACTTGTTGCTCTTTCAGAGAACCCAGGTTGGGTTCCTAGCACCCCTAAGGCAGCTTACAACTATTAGTCCAGATCCAGGGGATCGGATGCCCTCTTCTGGTCACTGAGGGAACTGCAGGCGCACAGTGCACTTAACAAACATGCAAGCAAAACACTCAACTCACAAAATAAAGTTTTGGTTAAGAGTATTGCCTGCTCTTCCAAAGGTCCTGAGTTCAATTCCCGGCAACCACATGGTGGCTCACAACCATCTGTAATGAGATCTGGCGCCCTCCTCTGGCGTGCAGGCATACATGGAGACAGAATGTTGTATACTTAATAAATAAATAAATTAAAAAAAAATAAAAAAATGAATTGCAGCTTGCTCCTCAGAAGAAGCAATGAAGGCCAGAAAACATCAGGATGATTGCTACAGTACTGAAAACACATGCAACAACTCTCTAGTGACTTCTCATTCCTCATAGGAGAAACTGTAAGGTCCTCAGCTTTCACAACACATTGCTTCAATTCTAGTCACCGTCTGCCCCATCAATATTGCTTAATGTCTTTATGTCACCCCAAACCCTTCCTTTTGCCTCAATAGTCTTACTACACATTTTCCCCCTCACTGTGGCTTAATGCCTCTCTGTCCCTAGATACAACTGTTGATGTGTTTGGCATATTAAAAATACAGGTTGGCTTAAATCTCAATGCCTGACACTGGTATGGACTCTTAAGATATCTGGTACCTAATGTAGGAGCTACCATAAAAAGTGTATTCTTTCCCATAATAGCATAACCATACTGGATCCAGAAATTAAATTTAGTAGGTCCTACTAATTTCTACATGACAATATAAAGCCCGTGGTGACTTCTTGCTATCAGATAGGTAGGACTTTCTTCCCCCTACACATTCCTGTCTGATTGGTACGCTAAACTACATCATTCTAAGTATAAGTTGTCAATAGCTCCCTGGGAAGTGCCTTAAGATATGGAGGGTTCATATTTCCTTTATCACCCCAAATCTCTTCCTTTGGAGTTAATGGTCATGAGCTGCCTGAATGGCTTTTGTTTACTTGAAAGACTTGCTCTGTGTAGCCCTGGCTGCCCTGGAATTTGCCACATAGATCAGGCTGGCCTTGAACTCTCAGAACTTGAACCTGCCTCTGCCTCTCAAGTGCTGAGATAAAAGATGTGGCGGTCTGTATGTTTTATTTTTGTTTTTTCTTGTTTTTGTTTTTTGAGACAGGGTTTCTCTTTGTAACAGTTCTGGCTGTCCTGGAACTCACGTTGTAGAACAGGCTAGCCTCGAACTCACAGAGATCTGCCTGCCTCTGCCTCCTGAGTGCTGGCATTAAAAGCAGGCACTGCCACTGCCCTGTCTTTGTGTGTTTTTAAAGTATACTTTGCATTACTTACTTTTGAAACTATCACTAGAATGTAGGTAGAGTATCTTTTGCCCAGTTTTATGATCTACTTTTCTCAACTAAACTCAGGCTAAGTTGGGGCCACAAGTAATCTGTAGTTTACCTAAGACAGGCCAACCCATGGACCCTTCAACATGCAATTAAGTTAAATGAAGAACAGTGAATTTTTAGGACTTACAGGTAGGCTCT